GGGGGGGGGGGGAAGATCTGGATCGGGCCCTTCGATCCTGGCAGCTTGACTTCTCCACTGAATCAGGAGAATGTCAAGTGGCCAGGACTCACCTGCCTGAGAACCTCACCTGGAGGGCGGAGAACCTTCCCCGATCAATGGGGGTCTGGACTGTGACAGGGTGCTCGACACGGGCAGGGGCTCGAACTGGTCTTGCAAGGGGGGATCCAGTCTGGTCCCAAAGGGAGTGACCATGAGGAAGGGACAATAGGCTTCTGCAGAAGAAAGGAAACAAGCTTGCTTTGACACGACTGTAGAAAGGGTCGGTGTCCTTAGCCCAGGGTCTCCGGTTGGCTAGGCACCTCCATAATTGTGGATCGGTACGTGCTGCACCGTTTCATGAAACCACGAAACTAGGTTCAAGGAAACATGGTCTTTTCTCCAAAAGGGTCTTTTACCCAAGGATTGAGGGTGACAGTCCAAGAGAAAGATTTGGTGAAGCCTTAGACAGTGGTGGAGAGGTCTCCTCCTTCATGCCAGTCCTTGCTCCACAGTCTCCCTGTTAGGGACATTGAAGCAGTAGCTTCTTTCTGCCAATGGGAAGGGGGTTGGACTAGATGACCTTTGGATTCCTCGTCAGTTCTCTAGTTCGTGGTTCCCAACCTTAGAGAATCTAGGAGTTCCTAGTTGGCTCTTTCCAGAAACCCACGCCAGCAGAGCTTCTGGGAATTGCAGGCCAAGAAGACCGAGGTGACCCATGGTGGGGGCGGAGACCCACTGCTCTAGGAGAAGGGCCTGCTCCTCCAAACCTTTGCGACCTCCTTGAGGGTACCCTTGGATTCAGCCTCAGATGGGGCTGACTTTTTTTGTGAACGTCATTTCCGTTTGGGATCCATCCGCCCTTCCCCCTGAGATGTAAGAGGCTTGAAAGATAAAATATGGCAGTCTTCATGATTTAGTTTTAAGAGATGTGTTTACTTTTTAACGCATTTCTATACAGCTCACTTAGTGCTTAGCACTACTATCAATGTTTTACCACAGCATAATATATAACAATAATCCAAACACACAAAGTGAAGCACCTCAAATTCTTTTTTCCTTATTTTGAATTCTACTCTCCAAAAGTAGCTCAAATTGTTTTTAGCACTGGGAAATGCAGATTTTTCTAAGAAATCTAAGGAATGACATTAAAATAATAAAATGGCAATAGATATTTTATATAAAATTTAAAGTATTAGCAGCGCACAACCCCAGCAAGCTCAATCATAGGGGAAGCTGGTGGGGGACAGAGTAATTTTTTCTCAATAAATGCGCTCTGTCCTGCTTGGTTGCTGATTATGGTGATCACGTGACCCATTCAGGTTTCCTTTAGCCCAAGATGCTGCATATAACCTCCCACCACAGAAGATCATGCTGGCCATTTTCCTCATCTCGTTCATCCCCACGTTTATTTATCACCTTCTTCATCTTCTGACAGAATCATGATCTCACTTCTCTATCCTTTATACTGTCAGCTTCTCACTGTAATGTGCAGAGTTCTCTGAATGAAGAAACACACACACACACAAACTTCTACAAAAAAGACACGTGTATTAACAAATATATA